AGAGATTAGGTGCAAAAGAATTAATTTGAAACTACAGTATATTTTGTTAGACCATAGATTTCTTTATTAGTTAAGTGACGTTTTGCCTATAGTAGCTCCAAACATATTTACAAGCGTGATGCAACGAACTACAGCGCCATCTATTTTGATACATATGAACTAAAATTTTAAATGCACAAATGGCGTATACATAATCGCCCACCAAGGACAAACTGAGATTTGTCCTTACAAATATTTAACTTAACAACATGACTCTGTTATCGCCCACCATGACTTAAAGTAACAAAACAAATAAAAACACTAAGATGTACAATAAATTAAAATAATATATTTATGCACATCTGAAATTGACTATTGTAAAAAGTTTAATGTAAAATATTTCGTCGATTAGTTATAATAAATATATATGAAATGAATAAATATATATTTATTTAAGTATATTATTTTCATTAATTTGTTAATTTACCCTTTTCTTACTTCTTACTTTCATACAGTATCAATCTTTTTTAAGTTAAATAAACTCTTTTTGCGTCTGGTTAGACTATCAAACTTAAGGAGTAAACTCCAGTCGTGCGTCGGAGCTGACACACACAAGTTTTTTTTTCTGTTATGCAATTTTTTAAGTATTTATCTCCCGTGCTAGTTAAAAACTGTGTTACGGAGAAGTAATTATTCTGAATTAATTCGGCCAAATACGTATTTATGCAATCTTTAATATAATTTAAGCACTTTAAATACTAGAATTTTGTGTTTTTATGTACACTAAATTTCTTACTTTTTTTTTGTTACGGGTAGACAGTTAAGCTTTGATACACAAAAAAATGGGTACTATTCCAACGGTTACCACAGTATATTTTGACGTGACAACGTCTTAAATTAGGTTGCGGCTGGGAGTCACTTATGAAAAAGTGTAACGCTCGGTAACGTTACGATGAGTCTCTCGTGTTAAGTTTAAGTTTACATGTACAATGTTTTAGTAAACAAAATATATTTCTATAGTTAAAATTTGTGCAATTCTTATTTTCATTCAATTCCTTGTTCCTATTGTGCAATTTAATTATATTCATATCAATAAATATTCTACCGAGAAAAAGACGTTGTCACGTAAAATCTTCGCCCGTAAAACCGACTTTACAGGCAACCATTTTTGTATAAAATACGACACTGACATTTGACGTCATTGAGGAAGGAAATTGTTTGCTTATTTAGGTACGTGCTTACCTGTCTCACGGGGAATCCCATTCAACTTTGACTCTTGACTAGTTTTAAGTAGGTTATGTAATAAAAAGGCTATGTAGTATAAATACGTGTGAGTGTGTGTGATAAATATAATGCGATTCAACTAAGAATAGGACCGACTGGGCGTCATATTGTGATGTCATAGCTGTCAATTCAAACCAAATAGGTAGAGTGAGCAAAAAAAAGTTTTTTTTTTAATATAACTTATTTACTAAGATTAAGTGAGAAAAACCATCAGATATTTTTAATAACATTTATTTAATAAGATTGAGAACAAAAAACACTGATTTTTAATAATATTTATTTATTAAGACTGTGAGAAAAAACATTAATCAGAATGTAGCTCATTCTATTCCGCTCATCTCTGCATTACCGCTGGAGTAGTTAAGAATAATCATGCACTATTACTAGGTCACATACGAACATGCATCCTATAAGTAAACGAAAGTTTAAAATCGAGTTTCTGAACGCAACTTATAGTGACATTTGGTTGACGATTTAGGTTATCAACCATAGCCATGGCCAAAGCTCATAAGTGAAAAAAAACAACCGATATTAATTATCAATATTTGTTATTGTTTGTTTACAAATATTTGGTTTTTATTCTTGAATTAGCGGAGTGCTAAAAAAGGGTTCCAAGATTGTTTTTGCAAACCGTACTTTTCAAGCGACATTTGACAGATAGAGGTCATTGGCTTTCCTATTCTTATTTTAATCGCATTATACCAAGTACAAGTCGCCGCACGAAACTCTAACGCTGACCGTTATTGCGCAGAAGTAAAAATGAAGATGACGAGATCCCCCCCGCGCACCTCGTTTCCCCCCAACACATCTTAATTTTTACTTCTGCGCAATAACGGTCAGCGCTAGTTTTGTGCCGCGACTTATACCAATCAATGTAGTGTCGTGTGAGGCGGGTCGTTCATCATCATCATCATCATCAGCCTATTAATGTCCCCACTGCTGGGGCACAGGCCTTCCCTATGGATGGAATAGGGAGATTGGGCCATGACCCACCACGCGGGCCCAGTGCGGATTGGTGGGTGCTAACGACTGCAAATGCAGCCGGGACCAACGGCTTAACGTGCCTTCCGAAGCACGGAGGAGCTCGCGATAGTAAATTTTTGGTCACCCATCCAATGACCGACCACTGCGAAAGTTGCTTAACTTCAACGATCGCAGCCGAACGTGCTAGCCACCTGCGCCATCGAGCTCCTCGAGCTCATCGAGCATCGTGAGGCGGGTCGTTACGTTCCCTAAAATATGGTTGAGCGAAGCGATGGCTGGTTCATGCGTCATGCTCGTGAACGGGTACTGCCAGCGGAGATGAGTCTGCCCTAACTTCCTTAATATTGAAGTTAATGTTTACTCACACTTAATATAAATAACACTATTTGTATTTATACTGTATGACACAGCAATCAAAACGCAGGTAAACAATTAATGTATATTTAATAATTATGTAATGAAAGGTGACTTCATGAATCATCTCTGAAGTCATTTTTCAATTTGACGACTCTGTAAATAATAAAACAGGGAGAAAAAACCAGCTCTTGCTGAGTTTCTTGCCGGTTCTTCTCAGTATAAGGTCTCCCGCCGTAGATTTACGAACCGATGGCGTAGCTTCTAGATATTCATGAGTGATTTTGATTATGATTGATTATGATAATGGTTTATATTCGTCGCTCGGGTCATTCCATGGCTGCCTCTCGCTTGTCCCAAAAATAATAAATATAGTGTTGGTGAGAACATATACAGCAGCTGCTAGGAAAAACACCACTTTCCAGAACTTCGGGTCGCTCTGAAACAAATCGATTTATAGTTTCAGTACAAATCGTAATTCAAATACTAGATATACCTATAGATTGGTTATCTTTTCGAAATTAAGGCTTAATTGTTAAAGACTCTGTGCTGTTATAATTTTACTAGCAAACCAGTGAACCAAATGTTCACCAAAACCTGATTTAAAAAAAATGTATTTAATTAATTGAGAACTTCGGAGATTTTGTGTGGTTTCGTTTGGAATTCGTGAATTTCTCGAAAACCGGAAGTGCTACGTTACTCAAATCCGGTTTGTAGTCTTATCAGACAATTCTTAACTTATAACTTAAACATTCTCTTTATCTATCTCTTACGGTTTGGCCGCTGAAACAGCACCACAGACGGACGGACGGACTTGTCTAATAAATAAGAGATTGCTAGATTATTGCTATCTTATTCGTTGTATGAGTTTTTGATTTGTTGATGTTCAATTCGATAATCAGTTGTGAGTTTGTCATATACCATGTCACATATATAATATCTTCTGTGCGCCTGATTAGAACTAGCAGGGGCAAAACTATTTACTAGACCATGTTTCAAACAAAGTTATGGGAATAAGAGCTTTTTTCCCAATATTTTCTAAAAAGCTTTGAATTTTAAAATAAACAATCCTTATTACTATGTTTGTATTTATTTTTAAGCATTTAACTGCTAGATGTTTAAATCTAAAGAAAAGTTTTACTAGAAAAAAATCTACGCGGACCAGGCAGCGGACGGGACTCGAACCCGCACCCTTCGCAATCCGGGCGAACGCACTGACCATAGACGCTGCCTTGCAGCTTAAGGCTAGGAAAATTTCGACGCAGCCAATAGGGCCGTGGTAGCATAATGGTCAGTGCATTCGCCCGGATTGCGAAGGGTGCGGGTTCGAGTCTTGTCCGTTGCCTGGTCCGCGTGGATTTTAATCCTTATTATTGTTAACTTGATTTACCTCATCCTTCAATATAATAGCAGCCACTAAAGGAGCAACTATCGATACTATATTAGCTAAACCATTTGTGACACCCATCAAACTACCGGCGAAGTTCGGCGCCATATCAATGTGAACCAGCTGGAATCAAAAGAAAAAGAAATTAAAGGTCCATCATAAAAAAGTATTGATAGGAATGATGACTAATTTTTTATTCTTCATTTATCAGGTAGATTATCAAAAAGTATTGGACACGTATTTTTTCTTTTTTCACATAATATAAACATTGCAGAGATATATTGATTTGAAAAGTCGCATGACGTCACGTTTGAGTACACTTATAAGTGAAAATTCACTCAAAAGTGACGTCACGAGCCCCTCCTCCCAAACTTTGACGCGCAATAACTTTGTCATTTTTTGGTTGATTGTTCAAAGAAAAAATACGTGTCCATTATTTTTTGATCATCTAACTGACGGACTAAATAGAATTTCATTTACGGTACCCCGTCATCATCCCTATTTATAGTTTTTTACTTACTGATTTCACTGACCATTATGCTACCGCGTCGAATTCCTTCTAGCCTTTCTTAAGCTGCAAGGCAGCATCTTTCAAATGTTTAATACTTGCAAAGGTATTCATTTGACATTGTGGGTTACCTACAATACGAATAATGCCTTGCAGCTTAAGGTTAGAAAGAATTCGACACGGCTGTCAGGGCCGCGGTAGCATAATACTCAGTGCATTCTCCCGGATAGTGAAGGGTGGCGGGTTCGTGCCCGTCTGATGACTGGTCCGCGTGGATTTTTTTCTAGTAAAATAAAAAAATGATGTGGTGTCGTGGGACACCAGGTAGGAACGAAGTTCCTTCGGCTACTGTAGGGATGAGAGAACGAAAAGAAAGAGGGAGAAAGAGAAAGGTATTATACACTACTCGCTTGTGTATGCGACTGTCGCGCCTGCGCACGTCTCATTTAACGGTTTTATTCCACGCACTTTTTTCCACGGATTTTTTCTTACGGTTTTACTATCACTTCGTTCCAATATTATTTTGTTTAGATTTAAAGTATCAATTTGTTTTAGAATAATGAAGATAATTCCACAAGCTAAGAATTGATTTACTCCTAAAAATTGTAAGTTTAAAAAAATCTTTTTATTTAATACAGTACCCCGTAAGTCATTGTTGCTTACATTGCAGGAAGAACGTCATTTCAGCACAAGTAATTAATGATTTTACAGTAAGTATCTTTAAAATCTTGCAGAATTTCTCAGTTCTATTTAACCATTTCAGTACGTTGATTTTGAATGCAATAAATGTAAAAACATTGGAACAACTATGGACATATTGTTACGTGTCGGGATGGGGTTCGAAATTATATGCCAGTTCACGCTTGATAGTTCTTTATTCACCACTCATTTCACACAATCAACACACAATGTTAATTACAAAACACTGTATTTCACTATACAAGTCTCTAAACAATCTCACTTTGATCGCCTTTGGATTCGCTCCGAAATCGCTGTTGAAACTCAACTGTCTCTGCGCGGCGCCAATCGCGCTTATATACGCCGATCGACGCATTCTAGTACCTGTTAAATTGAGAATTAGCTAGCACCCGCGAGTACGAAGTACCTACTTATACCTACGCAGGTAACGCGCATAACTTGTAAACAAGTGCAGATGTCGTTGCACTTTCGCCCTTACGCCGCATTGCATAAGGCTCATTTTAGAATGAGCCGCATTACGACCTCTATCGCGACCCGCGGTGATCTGGCAAATTCGATCTCTAGCACTTTCGCGGTTACGTTTCGAGAGCGTTTGTGACAATATATTAAATAATATTTCTTACTTTGCTCGCGAATATATCAATGAAGTTCGTTTTTCTATAAAATCGCCTCGCTTTCAATTTGAACCAACGCAATACGACCTGCGTCAAGAAATGACAAACTTTCCACACTGTACGGGTTTAGCCGCACATTAAACTCATAATAAGTAAGTTAACGCGTCAGCAATATGACTCGCTGCGCGACTTATTACTTTATAATTTATAAAATTCAAATTAAAAAATATTTTTTTTTTTTTTTTAATATTTTTTTTTTCATTTTTTTTTTATTTTTTTATTTCTTTTAATTCCATTGTTTCGCAATAATAACATATTGAATCTATAATTAGTGTCTACCCGGTAGCCTTACCAATCGCGCGTACTCACTCTTACCTTTTCACCATACGTAAACCATTTGTTCACCATACTTTAACCTTAGTTTTCCTGTTTATAGACTTTGTTATAGTAGTGTAAATTATCTCAATAAACTCTCAGTAATAGGGGTGATGACAGGGTACAGTAAACGAAATTCTATTTAGTCCGTCAGTTAGATGATCAAAAAATAATGGACACGTATTTTTTCTTTGGGCAATCAACCAAAAAATGACAAAGTTATAGCGCGTCAAAGTTTCGGAGTAGGGGCTCGTGACGTCACTTTTGAGTGAATTTTCGCTTATAAGTGTACTCAAACGTGACGTCATGCGACTTTTCAAATCAATATATCTCTGCAATGTTTATATCATGTGAAAAAAGAAAAAATACGTGTCCAATACTTTTTGATAATCTACCCGATAAACGAAGAAAAAAAAATAGTCATCATCCCTATCGTTTCCAGTGACTTTCTATTTACCAATCTCTTCTCTAAAGGTGTATAACCCATACACATACTTTGATCAAAATGTACTGACTGTATACAAGTGCGAATAGAAAAATAAACATAAAAAAAAAACTAGTTTTTACGGGTTAATGCACGAAACTTTATTTATTTATTGACATTTAGGGGGACCAAACCATTACATTAGATTTGATAAACCACAGATCCTTGCAGCTGAGCGGCGGTTCGTTCCTCGAATGATGCGCGAGGCTATTGAGATTAAAAAATATCCAAAATTCAATAGGGAAGATGGTTGGTATATACCACCAGCTTGGGAAACTATTATACAGGAGATAAAATCCCAACCCCGAGCACACACTGCAAGACCATCAGATACTATTAGTTCTTTTTGTTTGCATAATTTAAAATAAGAAGGAGATAGAAAGCCTCTCTTGAGTTTGTTTCGCCGGTTCTTCTCCGAAAGGTCTCCCAATTTTGGAACCGGTGGTAGTTTACGGTAGTTAGGGTCAAATAAATAAACTCAAAATTACAAAAAAGAATTTAAATAAAATACTTTATTAAGTAAACTAAATAATAAATTCATACATAGACAATAAAACTTTAAAAATCGAACAATGAAATAACCGAACGCTAAATAAAAGTCTTTCGAAGGTAGCTCGACAAATTAAATAAAAGTTTAATTCTGACGACGTAGCCTGTAAAAGCTACGAAACGTCAATAAATAAATAAAGTTTCGTGCATTAACCCTTAAAAACTAGTTTTATTTAATGAGTGATGTGCGTGAAAACCTAAGAAACAAATATAAAAAAAAAATCTTTAACATACCACTAAACCCGTGATGTGACCTGCGTTAACACCCACAGCTATAGCCAATAATGCAACAGACGCTGTTAATGAGTGTGACGGCGCGTAAACGATCCCAATGAGGGCAGCAGCTGCTCCGTAAAACCCTGTAATAACAGGACTTGAAACATTATTTTGTCGCTTTCATATATTTTTTTCTGTTGTCATATATTTCTCAGATTTTGGCTCGTGATTGAAAACTACACAAGATTTGAAATCTCGATAAAATAAGGTAGGATTATGATATATATTGGAATTCGTTGCCAGCAGGAATTAGAGATTCCAGTTCTGTCTCGGTGTTTAAAAAGCGTCTAAATCAACATTATTTATCTTCATGCCCTTAATCATGCCCTTATTTTTCCCATTGTTTCTTTTCTCCTCTTTTCGTCCATAATATATAAATATACATATATATACATAGTATTATTATAAGTATTAGGACCTATGTATAATCGTGTATGTCCCCTATTCTTAAGTATTTAACGTATCTATTTAATCATAATTAGGTGTAAACGCTGACTGGCTTTTCAATGTGGTTTCCTACAATGGGCCTGCTGAAAGAAATTTCAGGTTGAAATAAACTGTGCCCTTGTACTATTATCTTATTTTGTAATCTCTGTCTGTTTATATTTGTGTGTACAAAATGTATAAATAAATAAATATATTGTACAAGCCATTTTAATTATATTTTATTAAGTTCGCATTCCGAGTCGATGCGCTCTAAACTACTGACACCGTTGACACACTAATAGGCTAGTTGACTCATGTCAAATTGCACTATACAAATGTTTATTTCTTATAATTTTTGGTATGAGGAACCTAAATACATCGATTTCACTTCATAAAATTAGAAGATGGCTGTAGTAATTTAATTTGAAAAATAGTTTTTAAGTCTATGCTTTTTAAACACTAAAAACGCTGTCCACCATGATTATGACGTCAACATAATAGCAAAACAACTAAACGTCATTGTCATGTTACTGTGTTTTCTTTCGTCCGACTAAAATATATCTAAAAACTCTTATATCTTGAAGAAAAGTTTCCGTTTATTGGTTTTCTCAACTAAATTAATGCTGGTCGCTGGATTTGTGAAAGCAGAAAGGACAGAACTCTGACTTAGCAGGTACATTCATAACCTTAAAAATTGAAACCACAACATTTCTGGAGTTTTTAACGATGTCTTTCTTTATTCTCGTATAATACAATCATGATAATTACAATATTTATCATGAAATCTATTAGAAATCGTGGTGTTGTAATGTAAATTCAGATAGGTTATATCCTACGTGCTTGCGAGTGTTTGTTTACTATTGTTCCCGTCATACCATAGATAATCTGTAGACTAAAATGGCCGACAGCGTTTTTGTATGTCCATGAAAAATCTATTTTAAAATTTAAGTTTTGTAGCTTTCTAGGTAAAAAAAAATTACAATTCATTTTTTTTCGGTCTAATTGAACAATTATTAACAATTTAAAACATATTTCCAAAAAGTGTCAACTAGCCTATTGGTTTAAGAACAATATTTTACATTATATGACAGTGCAATAAAGGCGAATGCCTTGTCTAGTAAGTCCAGTTATTCATTTATTATCGATGCTGTCAGAAAAAGCGAAATGAAACCCTTTAAAACCGCTAAATTGATTCAAAACCTATTTGATTTCGCTCTTTGGGAAAACCGGTTTTTTAAGGTTAAGGTAGAGCCAAACCTAAATAAAACGCTCCTAATGTACTTGACACTGATTTAGGTTTGAAAATTAACCGGTAAACCGGCCCTGTTCGCGGTTACGTTTCGAGAGCGTTTGTGACAATATTTATAGAAAATTGACAACAAGTTATTAGACCTACAATAACAATTTCATTCGATTTAAAATCGTGGTTCAAGATTTTGTGCAAGAGAAGAAGAAGGAGATTTTTTTCTCTGTGCATACATACCAATGGAATTGGAAATTTTCCTTGAAGTGCTTAGACTGAACAATTGTTTATTGTGACAGTGTTCAAGTATTATCGAAAATACAAAACTCAAAATGAACATCATCAAATAAGGAAGTGCCGATAAAACTCCATTCTGAAAATTATGAAACAAATAAGTTTCAGTACCTTTATGCAGTGTTACCACTTAGTGCTCTGAACAATGCTGAGCGAGCAAACATTTTGCGGGCTAAGGTAAAATAAAAATAACAGGCAAAGGCTTTTTACAGATTTTCAAATGCTGTTTTGCCGGGTTGAGAATATAAGGCGTTTTTTATTTCAAGATTTATATTTTTACTAGCTGACCCAGCGAACTTCATACCGCCATAAAAAAAATTATTAAAAAACATTGTCCAGCGGACAAAATTGTGAATCTAAACCATTCTCAGATCCCCTTGAACACACACAAAAAATTTCATCAAAATCGGTCCAGTCGTTTAAGAGAAGTTCAGTGACATACACACTCACAGAAGAATTATATATATAAAGATTTACTTCAATGTATTTTATTTTGTCTAGTTGTCTGATGTCATCCTACTCTCTTTTATTTAAATATAACTTGCCATCATTAATTCGTGCTGCTGTTTCTAGCTAAGACTTGTAATATTTTCACTTTGTTAGAGAATATTACTTACAGATTTTATATTTACTTTGAGCACCAGCTCCATATACGAAGGTATCTCCGTGAGAAGAGTCCAGAAACCCCAGTTTTGTCCACAGTGCACCAAAACTAGTGCTAGGAACTGTTTCGACGTCATTATGGCTTTCCATGGGGTTTGTAGCTTCTGTAAACATTTTTAGTCTAATATATAAAATTCCCCTGTCACAGAGCTTGTAATAAAACTCATTCTTAACCATCTTATAAAATTTTGTTCGTATTCAGTAGGTAAACTATTCTTCATACGCTTATTTAACAAGGGTGGCCAATAAAAAAAATCAGATAATTTTACTAAATAAAAATCCACGCGGACTTTGAAAAATTACTGATTTAATTTTGTATTTTTATTTTTTTTGTATTTTGATCATGAGTAATTTAACAGTTAATAAAAACGAAATAATTGGAAGAATATTAACGATACCTTATGTACTTGCACTGTTCCCAAAGAACTTTCAATGTAGCCTCTCTCGTCTGGGCTTATCGTATTAGAAGACTGCGGGGAAGCAGCTCCCAATTTAAGATAAAAGAGTGTCCAGATTGCACCAAGGATTCCCACACTGTAGAATATCATTGGCCAACCCCATTGATCGGCGATGTACCCAGCTGTTATAAGCTGCAGAGCTGTGCCTAGCTGTGACCCTGTAGAGAAATTATGATTCTAATGATAACAATTTTACATAATATAAATTATAACAAAATAACGCCTGATGGTATACCTCAGGCCCGAATTAAAACGTGGCTGCGTGAAATAATTCAGAATTCACACTTGACGGAGTAGAAAATAGGTGAAGGATGCAAACGAAAAACGCGGTTCCGGCGGCAAATAAAAGTTTTGCCCGCACCCTTACCAGACTAAATAGGGACAAACTCCGCAGGATTATATGAACCCTGACTGGTCATTGTCCCCTAAACAAACACCTATATACAATAGGAGTAACAGACAGCCCCCAGTCTGTTACTCCTATTGTAGTACAGAGGCAGAAGAAACGCCACAGCATGTCATCATGGAATGCAGGAGTGTGGCCGACCAACGGGCACGACTTCTCCGGTCGCCAGAATCGTTTCCGGAAGCTTGCAGCAGTCTACCAAGGCTGCTTTCCTTCTGGACCAACATAGGCTGGCTGGAGTAAATGGGAATGTTTTTGAGACACGCACAATGGTCCAATAATTAGGACTAAGTGCGGAAACCGCCCTGAAAAACTAACTAACTAACGCCTGATGGTAAGGAGACATCTGTATGCGTTATAATTTGTTTTGTAGCCAATTTTCGGAATTATCGTTTAAATTAAATAATTTCATTCTAGATGCAAAATGGCACAATATGACGTCACACCAGAGACAAATGTGGTAAAAAAGGAGCCCACATTTATTGCAATAACATTATTAAATAAATCAGAGCTAACGTCAAATTTGGGAGTTCTGATTGTTTCAAAACTTGTTTATGAATTAGGCGCAATGAATAATCCAAGTTTGTAACCTCGAGCGTTGCTCGCAACCTTGTCAAAAATCGAAAGATACGTGATATTTTCGGCTCCTTTTTTAACACTAAAATAGCACATAGCTGCGTTCAGTGCTAAAGGTTGTTTGATACTTGGATTATTATGGTATTAACATAAATCAATCAATGAAATCAATCAAAATCGTTTATTCAGCACAGTACACGGATACAGTGAAATTGTTATACTTATAACTTACAAAATGACAATTAGAGACAGACATCAATAAATACCACTTAACATATATCATACTGGCGTCGATTCCGGCACGACCCCCCAAACGGAAACTTAAACTTGACAGCAGCGTATCCCTGTCACTACGTATAGTGAATTTAAAGGACTGACCGATGCCAAATTCAGTCCTAAGTTAATAGAATCATGCCAGAATCGATACCTTTACCACTCCGTATCCACGGCTGCGCTGAAAAGGGCCCAGTTCAGCATAATGTCAGTGCAGTATGCACTGGCGCTGGTTTTCAACTGGGTCCTTTATCTGACAAGTGGATGCCAAACACCAATGATTTATAAACAAGTCTGCACAAAATTTTAACTACCATTGTTAGCGATGGACTCTAAAACTGTATGAAACTAATGGAAATAATCGAAATAGTGGGTGATTTTAATAAAATCAAACCAGAGAATTTGACACTATCATAGAAAAGTTGAAATATTTTAAGGGAGAGTAGATTTTTAAAGTTTTATTATTCATTGTTTGAATTGGCTACTTGTCAAAGAGAAATAATTGTCTACCTTATTTATTAGACAACATTAATCCATAGGGGTTAACATTTCAAAGAAGGAGCTCTTCTTTAGGATCACTGAAGATATTGTGTTTAACAAATCAATTGTTTTTTACCAGCATACACGAACTGGCCAAGTCTGCTCTTCTCCTCAACTGGAACCCATTTTCCTAGTAGGTTATGTACTGAGGGAAATGTAACGCCTTGGAAGAGTCCTTGCAACACTCGACATACGACTACTAACTGCCAACCACCCTGAAACCAAATAACATGAAAGGCGAATATTTATAACATAGTCCCAGATAAGAGTAATCTCGTCAGCTTTAATGCCTCCAAGACGCAAGCATATCTGTTCACCGCAAAAAGAGTCCTTTCACACTGCCTCCTGCTTACCGAAGTACTTCTGTCTATGATCGATAGTCTCAACTTCGGGGTAACCATCGAATCCATGGCGACTTTTCAATATATTTATAACATAATATAATTTTTCTTTAACTTGCTCAATTGCTAGATTAAATTTAGTATAGGTTAAGATTCTTATAGCTTAGCTTGCCTTATAGTAAGCGGTCACTGTATCCTATAGACCAGTGTTTCCTAACCTTTCCAATACTGCTACCTCTGTAACCTATTAGGAAAACAGATTTACCCCGACTTTAAAATGTTATCATCAGTCCAAGAAATTCCAATTTGGCCGCTACATCTTCGTCTCTAATAATGTCATCTTTATGAGAAAATCTCGCCCCGCTTCCCACGCTCAGCACCCCGCGGGCTCGCTAGCAAGTAGGAGCGCATGCTCTATTTAGTAGTATTATTATATAGTATTTTCTTATTATTTAGATTTGACCAAATAATTAGGTTCTTTGTTACCCCCGAAGTATGGCTGATTTACTCCCGGAGGGGTAATTACCCCCAGGTTCGGAACCCAGGCTATAGACGCTTGCGATACCATACAGCTGTTTAGTGACCCAAAAAGAATGGTGTACTAACTAATAGAATTAAACAACTGTTTCAATTTCAAATGGAGAGAGAGAATTTATTTCTTCTACATAATGATTTCCATCCAAAACAAAACGACAACGCGATTCAATAGTCTGTACCTGCCATCTAGTATATAAAAATGTAATCTGATTCTAAATAACAGCATTACTACTACTAGTTCAAGTGCAGCACTGGTATTGGTGGAGTTTGTGTTTGGTGGAAACTTACCCACAAAAATACACCACCCACCAAAAGCACTCTCATTTCAGTGACAAGTGTGAGGTGCTAATTTCCCGGACGGGTGTTCCTTTTAGAGCGGTAAATCCGCAATGTACCACTCTCTACAATCCCCAGCCCCACCAATCCCTAAAAAAAATTCAGTATAATCCCTACAGCAGCATAGGCCTCAAAAGCGTAACAATATTTTCGCAATATATTAGTTGGGATTATGTTGCTTACTCACATAGTAAGCACATGTAGGTATGGCCATCAGTAGTATGGAGTTGATGGCGATGGAGGAAGCCAGTAGCAACTTCCCTCCAACCCTATTGGCCAACTCCCCGCCAGGCACTTGAAGGACTACGTAGCCCCAGAAGAAGGAAGACAGGATCACGCTGCGAGTCCCGACGCTCCAATTGAATGTCTGGTTCACGTAGGCTTTGCAATATTCTGCGGAACACTGATATCAAAAGCAATCGTTAAATCAGTAATAATAAAATTTGAGGAGCTGAACGGTGTGAATTAAAAGTTTTGCCCGCACCCTTACCAGATTAAATAGGGACAAAATTCGCAGGATTATAGGATCCCTGACTGGTCATTGTCCCCTGAACAAGCACATGTATACAATAGGAGTGACAGACAGGCCCCTATGCAGAGGATGCATGGAGGCGGAAGAAACGCCACAGCATGTCATCATGGAATGCAGGAGTGTGGCCGACCAACGGGCACGACTTCTCCAGTCGCCAGAATAGTTTCCGGAAGCTTGCAGCAGTCTACCAAGGCTGCTTTCCTTCTGGAACGATAAAGGCTGGCTGGAGTAAATGGGAATGTTTTTGAGACACGCACAATGGTCCAATAATTAGGACTAAGTGCGAAAATCGTCCTGAAGAACTAACTAACTACGATCGTGGAAGTTAAGCAACTTTGCGATAGCCACTCATAAGATGGGGAAGCAGAATTTTAATATTTTGAGCTTGCGAGCCTCAGATTACAATAGTTCCATGATCAGGGGGCCAATCGCCTAACTGGATTGCTTTGGAAAACGCTATCGCTTACGATTTCATTTTGTTATTTCTAACCGCCGAAATACCTCACGCTCATTTTCTTTAACATTGTTATTACCAATGCAAAAGAAAAAAAAAGAGCGCGAGGCATTTGAAAACCTCAGGGGGCTAGAAATAACAAAATGAAATCGTAAGCGATAGCGTTTTCCAAAGCAATCCAGTTAGGCGATTGGCCCCCTGAGTTGCGAGCCTTGCTTTGGGAGCGGCACATTAAGTCGTTTCTCCCGACTGCACCACAAGTCTGCAGTAGATTTTCAGATTCAAATCCCACAAGTTAACAATTCACGCTATTAATGTAAAATAGTAGTTGCAAATCTAGTGCAGTTGTTACTTGAGCCGACACAGCACAGAGTACATCAAAACCTAAAAATACATTAAATTGTACACATATACTTGTTGCATGCAATGCTTGCTTGATTGATATGATTCACGTAATTTAATAATAATAACCTGGGATCCTTTAAAAGAGGCGAGAAGAAGCAACAAGCAGGCCGGCAAGGTGAGGACGGCTAGTGTGGCAGGTAGAACTGCTGTACCAGCTATTTTCACTTCTGGACTTCACTATCACTTAACATCAGGTGGGGTGGAGTCATTTGTCGGATCTATCTATAAAAAAAATATGCCGCTATTGTCATTGATTGATCGAGTACCTACGCTTGCATTGTCTATGCTTAAGGTCACCAGTTGAAATAGAGCGTGGCTAAACTATAACCTTGCTTTAAAATCAAATGCAACGCTGTAACTAATTATTAAATACTTTTCTTTTGTATTTTATCTAAAATAGAGTTTTGTGATTTTAAATGTTACATATTTTCACCTGTTCCTTCTTATCATCTAAAATATTTAACATTACTTGACAAATGAAATAGGTAACGTATTCACATGAATATTCAAATAGTTATGGCAATTTTCGTTATGAAAATGGGCATTATATTGTGCACTTCCATGTATTCAAATTGTTCTGACAAATAGAGAAATATGCACATTGTGCAGTTGTGAAAAATGTACATATTTCATACATTCATAAAAAACACTCTAATTAATAACACATAAATAATGGAATAGCCCGCCTGTTAACGCCATCTATCCTTCGAAGAGAGAAACTGCAATCGGTCCATCGTCATCGTCCATTCATACATTCATTTCGTACCCATTCGTTACTACATTCACTCATTTTGATTTATATAGATTCACTCTCCCTCTTGCAATTCGATTTCAAAAAAGACAACGTACGCACATAATTTTTAATAAGATCTGTATTTTACTATGAATAATATTCTATAATCTGAATATCCGATTTTTATTGAGAAATCCACATATAGAAGACATTAAGCTATCGAACACCGCCTAATGTTACATAAGTTCGTATTTGCATATACTTTGAAAGGAGGGAAAGCTACGCATGGCTACTCCTTTTCTGCGTGCAGTGAGTACCGCAGTATGATAAACTTTTATCATGATTTTATCACCTCTAACTAACATACTTCATATTATTTGCCGGTGCTCATTTTAGAGGGGCTAGCCTGACGCTGCTAGTTAATGCTCTATGGATGAAATATTTACAAGGTAGGTTTTCGAAGTTCGTCGACGAAAATTTTCATGTTGCACTTTTTTGTGTTAAATGGCTGAAAACAATCATATTGTCCATCTGATGGTAAGCGGCCACCATAGCTTGTGGTACTAAAAATATAAATCGCGCCTTGGCCTACCCTAACCCAATCCCCTGGGTCACTGAGTCCGTTAATGCCGAATGGCAGAGACGTTGGGACACGTCGGAACAGGGGAGGGAGTTATATCGGTTTTTCCCGGAAGTGGAGGCCCGACTCAAGTATACTTTGGTCGAGCCTGACTACGAAACCTCGCAGCTGCTGACGGGACACGGCTGTTTCAGGGGTAGGCTTCACAGAATGAAGCTCGCGGAGGTGTGGTCGTGCTACTGCGGGGAGGGAGAAGTAGAGGACGCATACCACGCTCTGTGGGAGTGTGAGCTCTACCGGGAGGCGCGTAGGGAACTTCTTGACAGTGTGAAGGTGCTCGAGTTTGGGCCGGTCTACTATCGTGACCTTGTGGAATCGGAGGCGAACTTCAGGCAGCTACGGGACTTCGCGCGTAGATGGCACAGGATTCGGATTGGACTTGAGGGAGGAGAAGAAAGAAGACAGGGAGCAGTACTGGAGGCTAGCGGTACCACTTCATAGTGGGCACGGGACGGCTGGAATTTGCGACGAAGGCGTTTCTTGTGCATCCGCCCCAGAAAGGAGAGAGGGACCATAGGGACAAAGGAGACAGATAAAGAACAGTTGGTAAGGAGTCAAGAAAGTACGCGCGGTGGAGGCCATTCCGCGCGAATCAGCGGGAGATACGGCCTGCATAACCAAGAAGGTTATCCAGGCCATGGGTGGTTGGTGGGATTTGACCCAATCCCCTGCCCTGTGAAGACTTGGAACCTTATTTCCTCGACAGAAACACAGCACCACCAAAAAGTAGTATTATTTTACTGCTAATTACTGATTGACGATCTCTGTAGCCGTATGTACGCTGGGTTTCAAGGTGTCGCCTACTCAGAGTTCCCGGGTTCAAATGGCGGTGGGGCTAATGTTAGTATGATGATTAAGAGCATTCGTATCAGTCGTGGATGTCTATTTTATATATTTCTAGATAATTATATATGTATTAGTAGGTATATGTATTTTATCCGTTACTCTGGTATCCCATAACACAAGCACTGCTTCCTTTGAAGCCAGGCAATTTTTATTTTATTTTTTTTATATATAGGTCCGACAAATGACTCCACCCCACCTGATGTTAAGTGAAGGTGAAGTCCAGACGCGAAGATAGCTGATACAGCAGTTCTACCTGCCACACCAGCCATCCTCACCTCGCCGGCCTGCATGTTTGCTTCTTCACGCCTCTTTTAAAGGATCCCAGGTTGTAAGAGGGAGGGAACACGTGAGCGGGCAGAGCATTCCGTTTACGGATAGTGCGACAAAGATATGAGTCACCAAATTTCTTTGTGCGCGTTGGAATTGTGGCCACAGTAAGACGGTGACAACGTAGGCCAGCGCGCGTGGTCCTCTAAAGGAAAGGGGAAGGTGGGATAAGAAAGAATAACTCTTCAGAACACTCGCCGTGGTACAGACGATAGAACGCGCTTAGTGACGCCACGTCACGACGTAATTGAAGAGGCTCAAGGTGTTTAGTCACCTCCTCATCGCCTATGATTCGTGTGTGTGAAATTTATGTGTGTTAGAATTATTTATTTTATTTATTTACCAATTCGTCCAGACAGCGCTCCGATTCGTACGGGAAATCAGCTATGCGCTACCTATACTAACATTGAACACTTACGCTATTTCCACCGGCGTGTGGGTCGGTCATGGCGACGATGGCCAAGCTCATGTTGACCCTCATGGCGTACGCCAGCACCAGGCCAAAGAAGATCAGCACTACTTGGACATGGCGCTGTCCGAACGCGGCTGTAAATTAATAAATATAACATTATTTTGACGATCACCGTAGTGTGACTTGGGGTAACTATTTTATGGCTAAAATCTAAAGAAAATATAACTAGAAAAAATTCCACGCGGACCAGGCAGCAGACGGGACTCGAACCCGCACCCTTCGCAATCCGGGCGAATGCACTGACCAATTATGCTACCGCGGCCCTCACGGACCGCGTCGAAATTCCCTCTAGCTATTCTTAAGCTGCAAGGCAGCGCCATCTCTTCGCATTATAGGTAAACCCACAATTTTTTCTAGTTATATTTTCTTTAGATTTAAACATCACATCATCAAATCAGATTATAACACATCAGATTTAAACATAAACATCTTTAAAAATAATAAAAAATATAACTATTTTATGGCTGTTAATACATATATATATCCAGAAGAATATAAAATATTTCAAAACAGAAATCAATATATCTTTATTCAAATTGGATGTATTGTACAACTCTTTTGAATCGACCAAAATTTTTTTTCCCTACCACTAGTTATCGACATATTTTTTAGCTGCGGAGAAAAACGAGCGAAAAAAACTCCACAACATTAAAAGTCTAATGTAACAACATTTACAAATCATTATGTTGTTACAGCGTCAATACAATTATGATTTATTTACTATAGAAAACCTATTGGAATGATTGGAACAGTTCAAACCCAAGCATTTTTGTCTGTAATACAATCAGACACTTTGTAATAAACTTTTTAATAAGTGCTTTTTTTATACTATCTTTAAATTTATTTATGGCTAACTCTTGGATATTGTATGGGACTTTATTGTATAAGTGAACACAAATACCTATAAATGAATTATTAATTTTGTGAATCCTAGTAGTAGGTAAAGTTGGTTTATTTTTGTTTCTTCTATTAAGTGTGTGAATATCACTGTTTTTAAGAAACAAATTAATATTTTTTCTTACAAGTAATACATTTTCGTATATGTATTGTGAACGATCGTCATTATTCCTAATTCTTTAAATATATCTCTTAACGATTCTTTAACTTTAAGATTATAAATTGATCGAATAGCTCTCTTCTGCAGCACAAAAATAGTTTGAATATCGGCGGCACTTCCCCACAATAAAATTCCGTATGACATTACACTATGGAAATAACTAAAGTACACTAATCTGGCCGTATATACATCCATTAACTGGCATATCTTCATTACGGCATATGCTGCAGAGATAAGTCCATTTGACAATTTATCAATATGTGGGCCCCACTGAAGCTTATAATATAAAGTTATCCCTAAGAATACTGTGGTGTCTACAAGGCCCACATTCCTATCCTTTACATTCACACTGGTTTTTACTTGATTTACATTAGGTAATACAAATTTCATACATTTCGTTTTTCCTTCATTAAGTAATAAATTGTGAACATTGAATCAGTGGACTACCTTAGAGATACAATTGTTCACGTCGTCAATAACTTTTTCCTTGCGTTTGAGTTTAAATAAAAGTGATGTATCATCCGCGAACGATACTATCTCATGGTTATCCCTTACATAGTAGCCATGACACCTCATTAATATAAATTGAAAATAAGAAAGGACCTAGGATTGAGCCATGCGGAACACCCATCTTAACCGGCGAACACGGAGACTTTTTACCATTAATGTCAACCCTCTGAATCCTATCCCTCAGATATGATGCAATAAGATCCAGATCGGTATCTCTAAATTCATAGTGGTGGAATTTCCTGAGTAATGTTTCATGAAAAACGCAATCAAAAGCCGAGTTCTCCCAGGCGTCAAAAATTTGTTGTATAAGTTCAACACCGGCATCGGTTGTTGAACGACCCCGTGTAAAACCAAATTGTTTACAGTGAAATATATTATTTATATTAAAATGTGATTGCATTTGTTCTAACATGATTTTTTCGAAAATTTTTCTAAAGGTGCGTACAAAGATTGGTCAAAAGTTTGTGGGGTCTGATGTACTTCCCGTTTTATGCAAAGGAGTAATTTAACTGTATTTCATGTGGTCAGGAAAAACACCACAGTCAACACAATCATTAAATATACAAGCTAGAATAGGAGCTATGGTCTCAATTACCGATTTAGAAACATCAACGGAATAGCCCCACAGATCCGCGGCTTTCTTTTTATATAATTGGTGAAATGTTTTTATTACATCTGTAAAGTCAACATGTTTATTTATCTAAAGAAAATATAACTAGAAAAAATTTTTTTTTTTTTTTTTTTTTTAGATTTAAACATCAAGCAGTTACATGCTTTAAAAATAATAAAAATTATAACTATAATTGCTATTTCTTCTTTCAAATGTTTAATACTTGTAAAAGTATTCATTTGACATTGTGGGTTTACCTATAATGCGAAGAGATGGCGCTGCCTTGCAGCTTAAGAATAGCTAGAAGGAATTTCGACGCGGTCCGTGAGGGCCGCGGTAGCATAATTGGTCAGTGCATTCGCCCGGATTGCGAAGGGTGCGGGTTCGAGTCCCGTCTGCTGCCTGGTCCGCGGGAAATTTTTTCTAGTTATATTTTCTTTAGATTTAAACATCAAGCAGTTACATGCTTTAAAAATAATAAAAATTATAACTATAATTGCTATTTCTTCTTTCAAATGTTTAATACTTGTAAAAGTATTCATTTGACATTGTGGGTTTACCTATAATGCGAAGAGATGGCGCTGCCTTGCAGCTTAAGAATAGCTAGAAGGAATTTCGACGCGGTCCGTGAGGGCCGCGGTAGCATAATTGGTCAGTGCATTCGCCCGGATTGCGAAGGGTGCGGGTTCGAGTCCCGTCTGCTGCCTGGTCCGCGGGAAATTTTTTCTAGTTATATTTTCTTTAGATTTAAACATCAAGCAGTTACATGCTTTAAAAATAATAAAAATTATAACTATAATTGCTATTTCTTCTTTCAAATGTTTAATACTTGTAAAAGTATTCATTTGACATTGTGGGTTTACCTATAATGCGAAGAGATGGCGCTGCCTTGCAGCTTAAGAATAGCTAGAAGGAATTTCGACGCGGTCCGTGAGGGCCGCGGTAGCATAATTGGTCAGTGCATTCGCCCGGATTGCGAAGGGTGCGGGTTCGAGTCCCGTCTGCTGCCTGGTCCGCGGGAAATTTTTTCTAGTTATATTTTCTTTAGATTTAAACATCAAGCAGTTACATGCTTTAAAAATAATAAAAATTATAATGTTTATTTATATAAAAAGAATCTAAATCATGCTTGGAATTTGGAGCTATGTCGATTTGCGATAAATCGAAATTCCTATACTGGGCAAATACATGTGTATTTCCGCGTGGTTTATCAATTAATTATAAGCAAGTCAGCTCTTTTAAAATAAAAAAAAGTTTCCTATTCATTGAAAATGAAAAATGCATGTGATTTTTGGGGTATATTCTGCAGTAATGTTCTAATTTATAATATCATATTATCGGTTACCCTAGCACACTAAACACAAGCCAAGCTTACAGTGATTACGTTCGGTACGAGCTAACCTACACCATGCACCATCATCATCGTCATCATCAGCCTATTAATATCCCCACTGCTGGGGCACAGGCCTTCCCTATGGATGGAATAGGGAGATTGGGCTATGACTCACCACGCGGGCCCAGTGCGGATTGGTGGATGCTAACGACTGCAGATGCAGCCGGGACCAACGGCATTAAGTGCTTTCCGAAGCACGGAGAAGCTCGAGATAGTAAATTTTTGATCACCTATCCTATGACCGACCACTGCGCCATCAAGCTCCTCAAACCACTGTGCACTTTCAGTCTTTTTTATCTGTTTTTGTATTAAACTGAAGTTTGAGAAAAAGACTGAGTGACAAGGATGCTGGAAAGGAAATGAAGATGTGTTGCCCACATAAGTTTTTTAAGAACGATGGCAGATGAAGAAGGTGGTACTGGAATGGAGACTCACAACTGGTTACAGAGAAGGCAGACTTAAGGAACCCGAGTAGCTAATCGACATGTTGTCCATTTTTTTTTCATTTTTTTTAAACACACCCCAGTTAGCCTAGCCCCAAAGTAAGCACTATAAGGCTTGTGTTATGGGATGCTAGGGTAACGGATAGAATACCTATGCTGTACATATTTAAGTATATTTATATAGAAATAGATATTAAACATCCATGACTGGAGTACAAATGCTCGTATTCATCACACAAACATCTGCCCCCACCGGGATTCGAACCCAGGACCTTTCGAGTCGGCGACACCATGAAACCCGGCGTACGAACCACTCGGCCACGGAGGTCGTCAATTATTTTATTATTGTACATCTATTCTTGTAACAGGCCTTTTAGCTTATCAATTTTTTTATATTCCCAAATAAACGTGTCAGAACAGCATTGTTCACGCATTTATCACAAAGTATTGTGTAAATTTAATATTGATACGAGATCAGCGGTTAATTCTTTCATTATTTAGGTATTCTTCTTTTGAACAGGCATATAAAATATTTGTTTCTTAGCTTTTCACGCACACCACTCATTAAATAAAACAAGTTTCAACGGTAGCACTGATTTAATTATTTATTGACACATTCTGAAAAGGATGCGAAATGTCAATCTATACTTATAATAAATCTGTAGAGATGTCAATTCTGTACATGAAATATATTTTTAAAATAACTATCAGGGGGTGATTAGTGATCGATACTGATGCCAAAAATGCAATCAGTAAAATTTTTGTCTGTTTGTCTGTCTGTGTGTATGTTCCTTATAGAAACAAATACCTGGGCAGGTTATAGTATACTTTTCATCACGCTACAATTAGTAGCAGCAGAGTAGTGAAGGGAAATGTTGTGAAAACGGGAGAAGTTACTCCATTTTTTAAGCTTCCGTCGCGTGTGCAGCCTTAATGGTTAAAGTTACGTAGAAATCATGTATGACGGAAATATCCTACATAAAATTGTCTAAAAAGTATCCCGCAACAGTACATGTTTATCTTTTATGGTTGACTCACAATAACACGTGTAATTATATAAATAAAGTCATTGTTTATAGCACAAGCCTGAGAACAAAAACTATAGTCTACACTACAGCTCTACACCGAAGCGAAGCGAGGGCGGGCCGCTAGTAAATAAATAAATCAGTGCATCTGTACAAGTTGAAACTTGTTTTATTTGATGAGTGGTGTGATACTTATTTTATTGTTTCCGTTTCAATACAAATAAACAGTGTTTAAATTCTATCATTAAATCATTTGCGTCTTCTTAAGTTTTAAGAATATTTGGTTACTTTCCACCAAGATGGACATAGAAACATTATTTACAATTACGAAAACTATGATAGTTTTCGTGAGCTAAAACTCGTACTAAGGGTACTGTCCTGACACGTTCGTTGACCCCGCTACCGTTTACGTTGTTGTCAAGGTCACTATCCGCAATCGTTTGACAATGGTATTGTACCTTCTTGATACTTTGAAACGATGCTAAAGTAGTAGGTACAGAAATTTAGTTGCAATAAACACGACATATAGAGAAGTCAACTCGTTATTCTGATAATAATTTTAATATCAAACCTAGAATTTCATGATCTTCTTTTTATTTAAGACTAGAGGCCCGCCCTCGCTTCGCTTCGGTGTAGAGCTGAAGTGTAGACTACAGTTTTTGTTCACAGGCTTGTATTATACACAATGACATTCATCTATAATTCTTCTTATACCTGCATGCAAAGTCTCAGTCCGATCGGTTTAAAATTGACAAAGTTTTATACAAACTGTCATTCCCTATTTTATCCCCTTGGGGGTAGAATTGATCAAAATCCTTTCTTAGCGGATGCCTACGTCATAACATCTACCTGCATGCCAAATTTCAGCCCGATCCGTCCAGTGGTTTGGGCTGTGCGTTGATAGATCACTATGTCAGTCAGTCACCTTTGAGTTTTATTTCAGTATTTAAAGATGTTAAGTAACTTCAAAGGAATAGATGTATATTATTCAGCTTTTCGATCGGCATAGTAAAGTTAGAGGTGATTTGTTTTTCATAGTTATCTCCGCACAGCAGTTTTTCACGTGCTGATCCGATGCGGATCCGCGCAGATTTAAAACAGTTCCGCGCGGATCTACATCATATCCAATAGCACTGCAGCCTCGTTAAAAAATTTAAGACACGTCGGGGCATAAAAATACATAAAAAATATACATAAGATGTCATTTTTATTTTATTAAAAAATAACATCTAAGATATAAATGTTTATGTATTTTTATGCTAATATTAATAGATATCTTGAATATATTTTAATAATATAAAAATGACATCTTTGATATAATTTTTTCTATATTTTTATGCCCTGATGTGTCATAAAAATTTTTATACGTTACATGATTGGTTATTTTATAACTAATTTTTTAGTGCCTACGTTTATTCATTATTTAGTATTGCCATCATGGTAGTCGAAATTCAATTGAAACTAGGTATTCAGTTAACTCTATATAGAATTTTACGATCCCAATCATAATTGAAACATGTATGAATTTATTATTTAATTATTTATTCCATAAAAACAATATTACATATAGAATTTATTATACAACTTAAGAAGATATAACAATAAAATACAAGTAACATTAACAATTTCCCATCATAAAACTATAAAATACACTAACTATAAACAAATAAGTCTCTATAATTGAAACATTGAAACATAAAATAAATAATGAAAGATTACTCCATCAGAAAGTTGACATAATAAATGAATGTGTCTTACGCACGTCTAAGGTATCCGTGATGCTAGGGTACCCACGATCAATGTACGGTTTTTCGTTATGCCATTAAATACTGCGTAAATAGTGCCAAATTAGTGTTAAAATAAAAAAAATAGTGCCTCTTTAATTTAAGAAATAAAAACCATTTTTACTGTGTACGCTACCATGACGTCAAGCTAGCGTACCCATGGCCGACCCCAAGAACGGCATATATTTAATCAACGAAATTGACACACAAAAATAGTTCGCAAATAGTGCCCTGGCTTTACAAAATTTCATAATCAATACTCTTAAAGGACCAAAGATATTGAACTAAACATTCTTAGCTGGCGTCAACCTGGCGTACCCATAATAGTTCTTATAGAAAATGAACTTTTCTCGTTATCAATTCTATATGTATAAATAGTGTGTCAAATAGTGCCACTAACAGTAAAAGTATTTACACGTCTAAGAAGGTATGTAGAAATAATTAAACTCACATTTTCTCATCGACCGGTGTGATCCGAAGCAAACAATAAACAAATATTTCACAACACGCGATTTTAGTCTGTGATACATAACAGTCTGTGCTGTAACGATCTGTAGAACGCTACTGACATGGCCGACTATGCTTATCGATCGCTTATCGATCAACCAAGGCCGATATCAGTAGGGATGTCGAAAGTTGAAAAAAATATCGATATATCGATACATCGATATTTTAAAAAATATCAATATCGGCTTCGATATATCGCGAAAAAATCATCGATATATCGATATATCGGACCAATTTTCCCAATAATATCGCTCACGAAATATGACACGCGGAATAATAATGGAACGAAAATTATCTCCCTAAAAATAGACCCTATTTTCGAATGATGACATAGACAATACTAAATACCGCACAGATCATAGATATGTTGTATATCATTAATCTGAGATCCAGTTACGATTTTTCCAGATACGAATTTAGTTAGATCGTGATATGCCGCTAATAATTAAAAAAATATCGTTTTTGATACTAATTTCGATATTGGTTATTTTATATCGATGTATCGATATATCGAATCAAAATATATCGGCAAAAAATATCGATATATCGATACATCGATATATTTTCAACAAGCCTAGATATCAAAACGGTGTTGCGAATCATACACCTATTTACAAACAAAAACCGGCCAAGTGTGATTTGGACTCGCGCATCGAGGGTTCCGTACAAAGCTAAAATGTTTTTTTTTATATTTGAGTTGATTGAATGAAAGGTAAATTGCGGTTTACGATTTATGACGAATTAAAAAATCTACTCACTCAATCTCGTATAAACCAATTTTCGGTGGAAGTTTGCGTGGTTATGTACATCACTTTTTTTTAGTTTTATCATACTCCTATTTTAGAAGTTACAGGGGGGGGGGGACATATTTTGATGATACTAGAAAACTCAATATCATTTTTGAAGACGTATTCATAGATAAAAAAATTGAGTTTGGTTTTTTTCTATTTTTGTGTGAATATCTTAATGCGGTTCACAGATTACATCTGCTTACTAAGTTTCAACAGTATAGTTCTTATAGTTTCGGAAAAAAGTGACTGTGACATACGGACGGACAAACAGACAGACATGACGAATCCATAAGGGTTTCGCTTTTTTCTTCGTAACCCTAAAAATTGGCACAACACATACACCTCTCCTTTAAAGCCAGCGCAACAATTACATCTGAGGAGCTCGATTGCGCAATTGGGCCCGCGTGGTGGGTCATGGCCCAATCTCCCTATTCTATCCATAGGGAAAGCCTGTGCCCCAGCAGTGCGGTCATTAATAGGCTGTTGATGATGATGAATTTTATTCACGGACAAATTAGGTTAGGTTAGGCTAGGTCTATTGATTGAAAATTACAGTGATGAAAACATTATAAATATATGTACTCCTGGAAAATCATTTAATGACATTGTAAATAGCTTGACCCACCATAATGTGGATAGTTATACGAACTTAATGTTTTTGTGTAGTGACAATTCCAGATTATATTATCAATACGGGACATTACAATAAGTGTTGAGCATTTATCGAAAATTCAATTTGAATTTGATTTTAAAATTATTAGCGCTTTCCCATATGCACAAAACTTATTTAGGAAACAGAACAAGCGCATCTTGAATTTAAATTTAAGTATTTATAATCTAATTAATGGTCATAGTGACGTATTTTTATGTTTCGATATAAATAAGTATATTAGATATTCTTATCCCTTTCCTTCAGAGGACCACGCGCGCTGGCCTACACCGTACCTACGTTGTCTCTGTCTGTGGACACAATTCCAACGCATACCAAAAAAATTTGGTGACTCATTTCTTTGTCGCACTATCCGTAAATGGAATGCTCTGCCCGCTCACGTGTTCCCTCCCTCTTACAACCTGGGATCCTTTAAAGAGGCGTGAAGAAGCAACATGCAGGCCGGCAGGGTGAGGATGGCTGGTGTGGCAGGTAGAACTTCTGTATCAGCTATCTCCGCGTCTGGACTTCACCTTCACTGAACATCAGGTGGGTGGATTCATTTGTCGGACCTATCTATAAAAAAATGTTTAAACTTGACTACAGATACTGTGTATCTCGCAAAGAATTTTAGGACCCAGATAGCTAATTTATTAGCTTTAATATACAAAATATGGACAAAATATGTGGTATAGCTAATTCTATTCAACAAAATGGTGTTAGTATTTCTAGTAAAACAAATATTAACTTCATTACTTAGTTATTATTAAATCTTTTTCATCGATTAAATATTATTATGCTAACTATATATACCTAATAATATTATAAAGAGCTCTAAGTATAAAGAGGCAAGAGTTGTATGTTTGTTACAATTAATCTCTCAAACTGCTGAACGGATTTCAAAAATTCATTGACCATAAGGTAGCTGCATTCAAGCTTTAGCTCAATATCGTTGATTAATCATCTCGATTTATAGATCTAAAGAATATTTCAGTGGAATAAAAATCCACTCTGAAAACATCTCCGAGAGGTATTTTTTCTAGTAAAAGATTTCTTTATAATATAACATAGGCTATATTTAATCCCGTTAAAATAAATTTGCGGATCAGTAGTATAACACAATGTTATAGATGCGAAAGTGAGTTTGTTTGTTATGATGAATTTGGGTTCTTGGTTCTAAGCTACATTATCAAAATACTTATAGGAGTAGGGTGATGGATGGGTATTCATTTGACATTTTGGGTTACCTACAATGCAAAGAGATGGCGCTGACTAACACACTACAGCTTAAGAAAGGCTAGAAAAAATTCAACACGAACATCAGGGCCCCGGTAGCATAATAGTGGATCATAAATAAAGAAAATGTTATTAAAAAAAGTTCCACGCGGACCAGGCACCAGACGGGGCTTGAACCCGCACCCTTCGCTATCCGGGCGAATGCACTGACCATTATGCTACCACGGCCCTCTTAGCCGCGTCGAAATTTTCCTAGCCTTAGGCTGCAAGGCAGCGCCATCTCTTCGCATTGTAGGCAACCCACAATGTCAAATGAATACTTTTTCAAGTATTAAACATTTGAAAGAAGAAATAGCAATTATAGTTATGATTTTATTTATTTTAATTTTAATTCACTAAATACCTACTTACATAATTGTCTACATGTCATTTTCATGAATGAGCAGTGTTATTGTTAAGTTTTATTAAAATCCAGTCGGTATTTTTTGGGTGAAAGTAACCGCAAGTGGTTATTATACAACTTAAAGTCGTCGTAGATCCTAAACGGTCACATACAATGAAAAATGATGTAAGGAACCTAAAGCTGATTTTCTATTATCTGGACAATGATACCCCACTCGACATATTTCGTAAACTTCATCATCATCATCGACCCATGTTCGTCCTCTGCTGGACATAGGTCTCCCCTAATGCACGCCACTGCTCCCGATTTTCTGCCTCTCTCATCCAGCCCACTCCAGCCAGCCTACGAAAGTCATCATCCCATCTTGTCTTAGGGCGTCCCACACTACGTTTACCGAGTCGCGGTCTCCATTCAAGAACTTCTCGGCCGACGGCTCCATCGGCCGTCGTAAACTTATTATTTTTTATTTCTCACAATATGGCGCCTTATTGTCTCCATAATCAATTTCAATTACTATAATATCTGTTTTAGCACTTCCATGATTAATACAAAACAATTGGCGTATTTCATTGCGCAGTCTGGTAAAAAGGATACTCATTTGAATTGGACCTCTGAACAAGAAATTGCTTTTAACATTCTTAAGGATAAACTCACGTCTGACCCTTTAAGCCAGAAACATATTTAACGTGTCGTGTCGTATCGTGGCGCGCCAGAAGCACATCGGTTTCATACATTTACTATGGTAAGAGACATATTCACGTGTCGTGTCGTGTCGACGCTCTATCCTCTCTATCTCTCTCTAACCCATGATAAATGTATGAAACCGATGCGCCACGTCATGCCACGACACGTTAATATGTTTCTGGCTTGATTTCTCCGCACCGTTCATACTTACGACGGATGCTTCTAATTATACCGTAGGTGCAGTTCTTTCTCAATATAGGTAAAAATAAACCAATTAAACCTATAGCCTATGCATCGAGGACGCTGAACAAAGCAGAAGGAAACGACTCCACCACGCAGAAAGAGAGAGAGATATATACAGAGAGAGAGAGAGAGAGAGAGAGAGAGAGAGAGAGAGAGAGAGAGAGAGAGAGAGAGAGAGAGAGAGAGAGAGAGAGATACAGAGAGAGAAAGATACAGAGAGAGAGAGAGAGAGAGAGAGAGAGCGAGACAGACAGAGAGAGATACAGAGACAGAGAGAGAGACAGTGAGAGAAATCAGAAATAAGAAATCAGAAATCAATGTATCTTTATTCAAATTGGATGTATAGTACAACTCTTTTGAATCGTCCAAAATTTTTTTTTCCCTACCACTCATTATGGACATATTTTTTAGCTGCGGAGAAAAACGAGCGAAAAAAACTCCACAACATTAAAAGTCTAATGTAACAACATTTACAATTCATTATGTTGTTACAACGTCAATACGCTTATGATTTATTTAATATAGAAAACCTGTTGGAATGATTGGAACAGTTCAAACCCTAGCATTTTTGTCTGTAATATAATCAGACACTTTGTAATAAGCTTTTTTAATAAGTGCTTTTTTTAATATCTTTGAATTTATTTATGGTTAACTCTTGGATATTGCTTGGGACTTTATTTAATAAGCGAACACAAAGACCTTTCAATGAATTATTAATTTTGTGAAGCCTAGTAGCAGGTAAAGTTAGTTTATTTTTGTTTCTTGTGTTAATTGTGTGAACATCACTGTTTTTAAGAAACAAATTAATATTTTTTCTTACAAGTAATAAATTTTCGTATATGTATTGTGATGCGACCGTCATTATTCCAAATTCTTTAAACTTATCTCTTAATGATTCTTTAACTTTAAGATTATAAATTGATCGAATAGCTGTCTTCTGCAGCACAAAAATAGTTTGAATGTCGGCGGCATTTCCCCACAATAAAATTCCGTACGACATTACACTATGGAAATAACTAAAGTACACTAATCTGGCCGTATCTACATCCGTTAACTGGCGTATCTTCATTACGGCATATTTATTTATTTATTTACTCTTTA